GGTATGTCCGCAAACGCTTTGTTCAAGAGATATTAACACCTAAAGACTTTTAATTGTTATGAATTACTTACGTTATATTAAGTAAATGTATTATCTCTAGCTATATCTATATGCCACTGAATGCATCTATTGTTTGTTTTTTTATTATTTTTATTCTTATATAAATAAATTTGTATTGTACAAATTGAGATTTGTAATTGGTGCCCCGAGATACTACCATGTCTCTCACCAGTACACTGAATTAGAGTGGCTCTTCTCACAGATCTGCCTCGTTCCAAAACTCCTTCATAGCTCGCTCTGTTAAATTTTGGAATTCCTTTCCTATCAAAATTCGGCATTCTTCATCCCTATCTACATTCAAAACCCTCCTATTCCAATTCCTGTCCCAAAAACAGTCAGATACCCGCTAATCTTTCATGTAAAATTACATATTATTCATAATAATGTATTTACATATAGCTCATAACTGAAATACTTATTAGCAGATTCGACTTTTTTTTCTAAAAGTATATATTTATATTTTACAATTGTACGTAGTTTTAAGTGTCTTGGCAAGGTTCAAGAGTTTTGTATATAGATTTTTTATTTTTTTAATTTTGTATATAGTATGTATAACTAATATTTTCTTTACTGATTTATCTTTACCTTTACTTTTTATGTTTGTTTTTATTTGGCCAGATACAACATTTTAATTTTGCAATTTTTTGTTATTCTGAAGGGACTTCGTACCAGAATAAAATTATTTTCTATTCTATTCTATTTTAATAAATTTGTACCAATAGTTACAATAAGATAATGATGTGTTTAGATATTATTCATTATTTAAATACACTGACATTTTATATTGTCAGATTTGTTTCCTTTCCTTTTGTTAGCAGAAACACAGCACATTTTAAAGAAGAACGCAATGTATTTTTTATTTTTTCAAAAGTGTATAATTATAATTTTTCATACTGTACACAGTTTCAAGTGTTTTATCATAATTTTAAATGTTTTGTATATAGATTTTTTATTTTTTTAATTTTGTATATAGTATGTATAACTAATATTTTCTTTACTGATTTATCTTTACCTTTACTTTTTATGTTTGTTTTTATTTGGCCAGATACAACATTTTAATTTTGCAATTTTTTGTTATTCTGAAGGGACTTCGTACCAGAATAAAATTATTTTCTATTCTATTCTATTTTAATAAATTTGTACCAATAGTTACAATAAGATAATGATGTGTTTAGATATTATTCATTATTTAAATACACTGACATTTTATATTGTCAGATTTGTTTCCTTTCCTTTTGTTAGCAGAAACACAGCACATTTTAAAGAAGAACGCAATGTATTTTTTATTTTTTCAAAAGTGTATAATTATAATTTTTCATACTCTACACAGTTTCAAGTGTTTTATCATAATTTTAAATGTTTTGTATACAGATTTTTTTTTTTGAAGAGAAGAATAGTTGGGGTGTTCAGTCAAAAAGGAAGGCAAAAATAAATGATAATATTTATTTTTTACATATGCCGACGTTTCGATCTGAAGTTCAGGCCTTCATCAGGGCTAAGAAAATAACCAGATAACAAGGTATGAGAAACATAAGTAATGATGGTAAAAAAGATAATAATAAAAAAAAAAAAAAATTATTAGAAAAATAATTTTATTTACTTCATCATTCCACACTTTGTAACGGTTTTTATTATTTATCTCTTAGTTCTTAGTCATTATTCTAACAATTTCATTTTACTTTATATTTATCTATTTTATTTTTCTAATAATTTTTTTTAATTTTTTATTATCTTTTTTACCATCATTACTTATGTTTCTCATACCTTGTTATCTGGTTATTTTCTTAGCCCTGATGAAGGCCTGAACTTCAGGTCGAAACGTCGGCATATGTAAAAAAAAATAAATAAATATTTTCATTTATTTTTGCCTTCCTTTTTGACTGAACACCCCAACTATTCTTCTCTTCATTATCCACGATAGTCAACCAATTACCAATTATTAAAAAAGATTTTTTTTTTGTACATAGCTTGTTTAACTAATGCTTTCTTTACTTTCTCTTTATTTATTATTGTTGTATTTTGGCCAGATTTAGTATTTTAATAATTTCTACATTCTACATTTATTCTAAAAGGACTTTGTCCCAGAATAAAGTTATTTTTTATTTCTATTTCTAAATAAAACTTATTTATTTGTTCCAACTACTTTATTAATTAAACGTGGATTATCATTAAAATATTGTAATATGGTCGCACTCCTTTCTTCATTTCGTAAAGGGGCATCATGGTATCATAGCGAATGCACCAGTTTCTCTAAGACGTTGAAACTTGGACCTAAAGATAGACTAGGCCACCACCATATCGGCATAATCACCATTAGTACAAATGGAAAGCGTTATGATTAGTACTCTGCGAAAGCCTCTTACAAACTGATAAATGTTATTGAGAGATCCCAATGTTAATTCCAAATAGTATTAATCCTTATGTTGCCAATAATTTTTATACAGTTAGGGATAAAAGGCCATATTAGTATTCTATCTAATCCATCTCCTAAACAAAGCGTTTAGGAAGATACCTTCACTTTGAACAACATTTAATATAATGTTAATGTTCACATTTAATTAATAAAGTAATTAGAACAAATAAATAGATTTTATTTATTTCACAACTTAAATAATTCATATCAACGAAAATCTTTAGGTGTGACTGTTTAATGTATGTTTTGTGAGGTCCTTAACTCATTTTTGCAGTTTGGCCATTTAACCCTGAACCACTCTAGAAAATTAGACCAGTATCCCTATATTTTTATTGGTTAAAACCGAGTTAACATTTAAAGATCATTTAAAGACTTCACCTCTGATTTTATCTAAAATCATTTATTAGATTTCGTTCAACTTAGCTCTGAAGAAGGTGATAAAAACAACACCACGTGAAAATGGAAGGATGCATGTCGGAATGAATCATAAAATCCTTGGATATACAGATGATATATACCTCTTTGGAAGTAATCCTGAGGCCATTGAAAAACTTGCTAAGACTTTTATAAGAGCAAATCAGCATATAAGTAGACGGAGACAAAACAAAATATATTATAGAAACTCTTTGCTGCATTCATCTCCCTGAAGAAGACAAGCAAAATCGGGTCGAAACGTCGGCTTTAAATAAAATAGTTTTTTCACTATTTTAGTCTCTTTATGACCGCCATCCCTGACCGTCTACTTCCTCTAAAATATACTATAAAAGATGAACATTCCACACGAATAACAGGACCTGTTTAGAAGAGAAATCTTTAAAAATAAAATTTCTGTAATCGTTATCGTAATATTATATATGTATCTGAACCTATCTGAACCTATACCTTGGAATTATATATGTATCTGAACATTATAAAAAAAATATGCTCATCTTGCCTGTTTCATATGAAATGTAGTCCAGGCATAGGTCATGTAGGCCAGTAGCAGAGAAAATATCGATATACAGGTAATATCGAGGATCTAAAGGTGAAGAAGTTTCGGAGATTAGCGGTTTTGAACAATCGAACATTTGCGTTTTTATTAATATATATAACTGATTTGATGTATGAAGATAATTTAATAAAAAAGTAGATTTTTAACTCTGATTTTATAAGAAATATTTCGAAATCCATTTTCAACATTGTCACAAATATTGCTCGTTTGATTGGTCCGATAGTTCAAGGGAAATCGTAGAATTATTTACAAATGGTTTGATATAGATTTTATCAAATCCATTTAACCATTAAACTAACTGTATAATTGTTTTTGAATATAATGTATTTTTTTTCCTGTTCTTCCCTACCTTGCCTTTTAGGCTATACTGGATTTTTGCGAGCCGTAGGGTGAGGGTGAAGAATTTAAAATCCCCATTGAGGATTTAAAATCTCCCGGGACTTGAACTTTTTTGTCAATCTCAAAACTTGGTTATCTGGTTGCCGGACAACTCGTGGTGCTGTGCTGTTCACACACGTTATCCTATTCGGCCAACCTGTCCCTCCCCCCTTGAATATAATATCTGTGAACATATGTATTGCCTGAATATATATATTTTTTGTGTACTCCAGTTTAATCCTATATATTTTTAATAAATGCAATACATATCCAGGTGTATTTTCTGTTCTCTTTCTAATAGACTCTAGGATACTCTTAGCACAGACGGATCTAAGGGAGGGAAGAGGAGGCTATCGGGCTAAATCCTCTCCCAAAATGAATAAAACCATGTTTTACCAAAAAAAATTATCCCTAAAAGTATTATTGTTCGTTTAATTGTAGTTAATAGGACTGAAAGAATCACTTAAAGACCATTTCATATAGGTAGTTAGTTTATTTGTTTCTTCCGAAGTAATTATCCTAATTAGTAAGTAATTATCCAGTAAGTAATTAGTAAGTAATTATCCAGTGTTTCAACTGCCTCCCGCAGTGCCACATCCAACGCCCTGAAGACGACCTGCAAAGTGGGTCGAAACGTCGGCAAAAATTAAAATTATTTATATATTTTAATTTTTTTTTTTTTTTTTTTGACCGCACCCTCGACTAATTCCTTCTCATATCATATCAACGGTCAACCATCTCTACATAATTATCCTAATAATTTCTACAAAAAAAAAATCTGTCGGGCTGAAGCTCCCCCTTCCCCCAAAAATTAAATCTTGGATCCGTTAGTGACTCTTAGTAACTGAGGGAACTACAAATCAAGACTTTTTTCAGCTCCAAATAAGTAAATAAGTAAATAAGTATTGAGTGATTAGAATAAGTTCTAGGATAGTTGTGTCTTATTGAATAACTATTGAACCTGAGAGATATTTTCTAATAATTTCAAAGATAATTACTTATTAAGTAAATGGTACTTTAATAGTCATTGTAAATTATGAATCTTCGTCAATTGTCTTTGTTGAATACACTATCTTGATAATATTGTATACATTGTATGATTATTATATTGTATAAATAATTGAATATGTTAAGCTAATGTTGCTTGTTTGTTAAATGAGAGAAATGAGTTATCTAATGTAAGAATTTTCTTATAAATAATATAACTTAAATATTGTGTAAATAAATTAATTTAATATTTATATAATCATATTCCGACCACGTTCGGTTGACTGTAGTTAGGTAAGAACAATAAAAATATATTATGTTCGATCTCCACTCCAGTGACTATTCTGGAAGTCGGTGACTGCGGCTATGAGGGCGTAACACGCCACTGCGATGTCCTCCGGAGTCTTCCTCTTCAGCGAAGCCCTCAGGTTCTCCAGGTGTTCCTGCAGACTGGCGTTCCCCGAAGGGGTTGCCAGGATCTTCTTCATCCTGGCCATGGTCACCTTCACAGCTACCTTTAGGTTGTTCGGCAAGTGAACCTTGTCAACTTCTCGCACCAATCCGGCCCTTAGTGAGGAGAAAACAATATTTAAAATATACCTATATCGTAGTGATGAATATACACACAGAAAAGAACAATAGTTTTTACTTTCACTTACCTTTATATGAAATATAAAATAAGGGAAAGTATAGCGATCGTGAAAATTTTTGAATCCGAGATTTCAACGGTAATACACTTTTTGGCTACTTATCTTGAAATTCTTAAAAATACCGATACCAGTACTTACACATCCCAAACGCAGTCGTACTCCACGTCGGTCAGTATGCTGGGCAGGTCTTCCACGGTGTAGATGCCGCCACCCTGGATCAGGTCGGCCGAGTTCTTGATGATCATTTTCAGCTCGTTAATTTCTGAGAGGTAGTTGAGGTAGGTCTTGGCTTGACTCAGGGCTTTCCTCACATCCAGGCAGTTCTTATCTCGAAACGAGGCCGCATTTGAATTCGTATCTTCATTGTCTCTGAAAAAGAGTTATACCTGATGACTTGTAGTATATTTCTAGTATGCTAATATAGAATAGAATAGAATAGAAAAATAACTTTATTCTGGGACACAGTCCCTTGAGAATAACAAAATAGAACAAAATTAAAATATTACATCTGGCCAAAATAAAATCAATCGGAAAAAGAAATAATGTAAAAAAAATATAAGGTAATAATTCTATATACAAAAAAATTAATACTATGACAATACACTTAAAGCTATTTGCACTGATAGACCAGTATACACTTTTAAGAAAATAATGAAGAATTAAATAATAAAAATGTATCAAATTCTCTATTAAAATCAGCTCGAATGGTTAGCAACTATCTGACTGTTTTTGGAATAGGAATTGGAATAGGAGGGTTTTGAATGTGGATATGGATGGGGAATGTCGAATTTTGATAGAGAGGGGATTCCAGAAATTGACAGAGCGAACAATAAAGGAATTTTGGAATAAGGTTGATATGTGAGAAGGCATGTAAAGGTTAGAAGGTCGAGATCTTGTTGAAAGGGAATGGACTTAGGATTTCAACTGGTGAAGGTTGTAGGTGAAAGAAGGACGATGGTTGCTGATGATTTGGTAGAGGAACGTACCTAGGAGATATTGTCTTCGGAAGGAGGGGAAAAGCCATTTTAACTCAGCGTAATGGTGAGAAACATGGGAGTATCATCCCGATCACAAACTTGGGGCCCCGATCACAAAAATATACCTCTGGGAGTACTGTTTAATGCTTTCATCATATAAGAGAAAAAAAAAAAACTGTACCATTGCAACCCATGGAGGAGGCTATTGGATTCAGTACTATTTCTGAGTCAATGGTTGTGCAAGCAAGTAATTTGACTGAGATCTAATTTAACCGGCAGATTTTCCTCCTTAATCAATTATTTAATTAAGGGTACACACTGTATAAAGGCTGGGTGCGCCCTAGGAGGGTCTTCCAAACCCAGGGTGGATGGAGATTTAAAAGATTCCTCCGGCACCGGGACTCGAACTCGTGACTATTTGTTATCACTTTGTCTCATATATCAGGTTGCTGAGCAACCACAAGTAACTATTTACTTAATAAGTGATTAGCCTATCCCACTGGAAAATACCCCAACAGTAAATTTTCACCATTATTGCTACTAAACGTATATTTAGTCTTGTCCGAAACTATTTCGAGCCACGGTTCTTTATAGGCCGTGAGTTTGTTAATTGTAACTTAGTTAGTTGGTAGCTATGTACTAACTTAGTATAGTAACTTATAATAGTTAGTTACTATTTACTTTCAATCTTCTGGAAAAGATACTTACAGCGTCGAGATGGATATCGCCTGCACGTCCTCCAGCTGTGACTTCGCAGCCTCGCTCGACTGCAGCCCGTGCCTGTTGAGGACGTCTATCAGCTCGTGGAGGGGCTTGCAGATCTGGATAGGGTCCGATCGGCGGAGGAAGAACTTCCTGGAAGCGCAGACCTTGGTCATCATGATCTGCTGGAGGTCCCTGGCGATGTTGGGCCTCTGGCACACCCTCATCACGTGGTCTAGAACCCCCTCTATCTTTTTCCAGTTGTAAGTCTTTGACGGCAATTCGAAATCCGGTGCGTTATTATTTTTGGGCCTGTATTCGTAAAAATTATAAATATATGAATATATAGTAGTAAATTTATAGACGAGGTTTAACAATGCATAAAGGATAATGACATCATAGAATGTTGACGAACACAGTTTTTCGTTCTTTCCTTCCTTGCCTTGTAGGCTACACGGGGTTTTCTCGGTCCGAGGGAGAGGTCGAAGAATTATGCCAAGTTAAAATTTCCACCTGGTACCGCAATTTGAACAAGTAATATTTTTCCATATAACTGCGGCTATCAAGCAGGGAGACGGAGTGGCCGAATGGTCTAACGCGTGTGCCCAGCACCGCGAGTTGGCTGGTAACCAGATAACCTGATGTAGAGAAAACCCCGTGTAGCCTAAAAGGCAAGGAAGAGGAGCACAAGGAAAAAAAAGTAATTAGATTGTCGGGCAACGCGCGGTGCTGTGCACACGCGTTAGCCAACTCGGCCTCTCCGCCCCCAGACGAAACGCAGTTCCTGGAGTTTGGAGTTTCACATCATGACTCCTTAGAGCATCACACCATAGGAGGTCCCTCCCTCTCTGAAAGCTTGAAATGGTTTTAAAAGGTTTGAAATTCCTCTCAATATAATGGTCCCATAAAGACATAAAATACGTTAGAAATGAAGTACATGGTACAGGATTTAGCATTACCTAGAATCTTTAGATTCTTTCTGTTACTCGCTGCCTCATCATTTTTAGCTGATGACGGGCCAGTTGCGGGATTATTCTAGAGGAAATCAACCTAATCAGTAATTGTATATTTCGGTTTATCGGGTTCCATGGATCTACAACGCGCCTAAAATAATTTTCACTTCAAAAAGTATAATAATTTTGCTTGTAGCAGTGAGTTGTAACGCGAGCATATGTTATCCGCCATAACTGCAAACGCACGTATTTTCTAACATGCAGGGGAAGGTTCTAAATAAATAATAAGATTAAATCAAGGAAATAATTCAAATACATACAGACCCACTTTGTCATATTCCGTGTCGAGCCTGTAGATGGCGGGCGTTGTGTTTTCCAAGAGGTATCCAGCTGTCTTCAGGATTGTTTCTACGGAATTCTTTATCGCCAGCCTCAGTTCGTTCATGTCCGAAAGTTGGTTGAGGATTCCTTTCGCTCTGTCGAGCATCTTCTTCATCTCGACTCCTTTAATGTCCTTCTTCCCCGGTGGAGTTCTAGATGCCACTCCAGTGCGTTCATCTGCATTTTCCCTTGATGTATACAATATAGTTTCAGAATAGAAAAGTTAAAACTAAACATCAACTGTACAATGATTAGGTTATTTTATGGGGATTCTACAGTAAAAATAACTCAAGTCTCTTAGGTAACCGTTAATAACTAACCTTTATGTCATTATTACTTGCATTAAAACGATGTTGTATTAACTATTAAATCGTAATTGGTATAATAGTCTGGTAATTAAAGATTGTTAATATCAATACCATAAACAATAATTAAAATTACATTAAAACAAATAAATAAATAAATGAAAATAATAATTAGTATGCGAAAAAATGACTATAATGAACTCTGGAAAACATAAATACTTGATAAAGTGAATTTTATAAAGTAATATAAATAGCAATATATTTTTTAAATTTTATTATTGAAATTTACAACTGTATAATGATAAATACAACTATTTAATATGAAATAAGTAACTTTACATGTACAATATGAAGAGAAACTACCCATTGGTAGCACTCCAATTATATTTCTATATTAGAAAGTCCCGTGGCTATCTTCTTTTCAGACGCCTCGGAGGGTTATCAGGAATAGAAGAGGAAGCAAGGTTGGAAACAAGAAGGTTCGGATGGTTCAGAAGTTTATTATGGAAGGATAGGTAAATTGCAAACATATGCAACATTAAGGTTGTTATGGATGATTTTATTTGTGACGAAGTAGGGACCATTGAGGATTTTACGAAGGATTTTGGATTGTAGGGATTGGATACGAGAGGAATTTGATGGTTTAATAGAGCCCCTAAGCTCGATCCAGTAAGTCCAAATAGGCCTTATTATAGTTATATATATATGAGTCTTTTGTAAGTAGTGGGAAGTTTAGAGCGTTTGTCTAGTAAGTGCTGCAATAGTCGAAACGTCGGACGGTTTCTAGTCGTTAGAGTTGAGATTTGAACGAGGAAATCGTTGATGAATGGCGAATGATAGGCGGGATAGGGTTTCAGAAGGAGACAGCTCGGGTTTGGAAATGAAACGCATCAGTTCGATAGGGAGGAGAGTAGAAGTCAGTAAGATGAGATAAGGTGCGGTTTTATATTCCACAATACACCCTTGTGTCAAACGCTTTCTTAATATCTAGGTGGGGAACAGCAAAATTTTCTAGCATCAAACGCATATTCTCTTGATTGTACCATGATAATTAGAAAGATTACTAAATTACCTACAAAACAAAAAAAAATCTTAAAAATCGGACAATTACTAACAAAGATACAGTCCATTAGTTTTGGTATACTTAATAATGTCTTCCTGTTTAAAGATATTTCATTTTAGGAGTAGAATAGTCTGCTATGTTTTTTGGGGGGCTCTTATATTAACTTAATTATTTCCTAAAGACATTTGTTTGTTCTTACATTTTATTTTTTTTTTAATAATTTAGAATAATATCCTATGATCGGGGCATTATTTTGTCTTTATTACTTTTACTATCTTTCCAGTCAGCGTTTAAAAATAGGTCCTACCAAAGCAATTTGTATAAATATTTTGGTCTCTTATGTTTAATGGAATATTGTAATCGACTAAGGAAAAAATATTAATTCCTTCCTAACATAATGCATAGGGACTACTTATTTCCATATCCAAATATACAATATATAATCTATTTATTTAAAAATTAAAACTTCCTTCTTGTTGTTCTATATAGTTGTTCGGAGCTGATATGTTCCTCAATGTACTGGTCTGTTATTATATAAATTAACAGTTGTAACAGGAAAACTGAATTTTAAATTATAGGATTGCTCAAAAAACGGCTCCAAACGATTTTGTTAAATTCATTATATCAGTGTTAAATTAAGCAGTTTTTAATATTATGTAAGTTTTATTTTCATTGATGTTCTCTAGCAGGGCTTAAATGTCTAATTTTCAATATTAGCTTACTCTAAAGTACTTTTTTTTTTTTTTTTTGAAACAATTAACCAGTTCACATTGATCTTTAATATAAAAATTAATTATATATAAAATATGAAAGTATTTGATAATTAATATCATATTTGTTCTAGACTTAATCCCAGCAAAATTCTTTCCGGAACCTTACCCATCATCCAAATCCCTATTCAGCACCACCCATCCCTATAATCCTCCAAGAAGGTTAAAACGGCAGTAGCCCCGCGACATTTTATATTTTGTAAATATTGGAGTACTGACAATGGCGAGATTCTCCACTCACGACATGAGTGTATTTGGCTCAATCTCAACTGGATTTAGTCCCAGTGATCCGGTTGAGAGAGAAGTGCAGGGATCTCCTAGAATCATGTTTTTCTCTTCACAGTTGGAAGGATAAGTCTGGCTGGGAGTTCTCTTGCCAGATTGTAAATAGTGTTTATAGGTATGTGTTCTTTTTATTTATTTATTTTTAGGTTATTTTATCCTTATTTATTGTATATATATATATATATATATATATATTTTTTTTTTTTTTTTATTGATAAATATTACAATCTGTCTCAATAAAGGACATTTATAATAGAGTTCTGAGAGCACATTCACACCATATTTACAAATTAAAAAAAATAAAAAAATAAAAAAAATAAGCTAACTTCAAATAATATAAAGTTACAAAAGAACAAAATAAAATATCATAGTGAGAAAAAAAAAGTAATGAAAATAAACATCTTAGACGCAGGCATACCTATTACACTAATACAGTCGGCCATAGGAACTCCGAACCATACTTATCCCCCCACACGTGAAGGGAAAGCAAGGCTTCAGGAGATCCCTGCGCTTCTTCCTCAACCATTTCACTGGCATTGAAAGCCAGCGGAGATTGAGTAAGGGCGCTTGTATATATATAATGTTTCTGTATAATTTATTTTATTTACTGTACATAGAGTGAATGATAGCCGGGATAGTGTTCCAGAAGGAGGAGGCTCGAGTTAGGAAGGATTTGTCAGACGTATCAGTTCGATGGGGAGGAGGTTAAAAGTCAGTACGATGATAATAGGTGCGGTTTTATATTCCACAATAGACCTTTATGTCAGACGCTATCAAACGCTTTCTTAATATCTACTTATGTAGAATAAAAAATATGTTGGTGACTGATATGGATAAATTCAAACAAAAATGAAATGATAAAAACAAGATTACTTGGCGTCCTCTTCCATGATGAATCTGATGCCGCTGAGATGACGGTTGATGACGGCCCCCGTCTTGATGCCGTGGTCGCTGATGATGCTGGAGAGGTCGAGGAGCGGTTTGGTGATGTCCAGAGGATCTCCTCTCTTCTGGAGAGCCCTCCTGGATGCGGCTAGCTTCTGCCTCACTGCCTGCTGGATCATGATCGGCACCCCATCCCCGAGGCCCACCACTCCGAGGTGGTTCAGAACCTCCTCCATCTTGGTCCAATGGTCCTGCTTCTTGCTCCCCGATCTGTCCGCGTTCCTCTTCACCCGCTCCTCTCGGAGCTTACTAACACTTTTCGAAGTTCTTTCTATAAATTATATCACTTAATTATTATTAAGCTATTATTTAGGTATCTGATGACAGGTAATTTTTCATCAGCCGTGGATCTACACTGCGGTCGGGAGACCTCTCTGAGCACACCCAGCCTCTGTAATGTTGTTAATCTTAATTAATTAAGGGATAAAATCTGACGGTTGAGCATGATCCTGGCCCGATAACCTCTCTGCATAAACATTGATCTAGAAACAGTATTGAACCCTTCATGGTTCGTAATGAAATGAAATGAAATGAAAATAAATTTTTATTATCCTGAGACCGTTGTCCCTTTAGGACAAATTATAGATACAGAGAAAATGACTGTGTGGCCATAAAATTAAATTAAATATATTTACAATCCTCATTAAAATTAAAATATTGGAAGATAAATTAAAACAAAAACAGTAAATATATACAGATATATATAATACAAACATGTGAAGATAAAATAATATAAGTAAAGGAAATCATTTCTTGATCAGTCGTGTTGGGTAAGAAGTAGGTGCTTAAAAAGGAGAGATTTAAATGAGAAAACTGATTGCGCATGTTTGGATATCGGGAGGGATGGTATTCCAGATGGAGACGTCTTGAATTATTAAGGATTTGTCAAACGCAGCAGTTCGGTGAGGAGGTGGGTAGAGGTCAGAAGTACGGGATCTATTGGGACGGGATTGAATGGAATATTTAAATTGTAGGCTGTGAAAAATATAGCGAGGTCGCTGAGGCGAGAAGGAAGTACAGACGGCGGTTGGGTGGATAGAGCCACTTCAACTTGTTGTTATACTGGGTTGTATGCGTACCTCTTGAGATTCTGAAGACAAAACTTATTGCGAACTTCTTTAGGCGTTTAAGTTTGGCCTCGAATTCCCTCGAGAGTACGCCGTACACCAGACAGCCATAGTCGAAGTGGGGGAACACAAGGGAGGAAACCAGGAGTTTTCGGGTTTTATATAGAAGGAGATAGCGGAGAGGGTTAAACTGTTTCAGGGTAGAGATAGTACGACGGGAAATTTGGGAGATGTGTGATTTCCAGGAGAGGGTTTGATCGAATGTAACACCAAGGTTTTTTACGGAAGTATGGGATGAGATAGGTGAGTTGTTCAGGAAAAGATTGGGGAGTATCTGTATGGATTTGAGGAGAGGGAGATCCGATCAGAATGGCTTTCGTCTTCTCGGAGTTCAGAGTAATTCTATTGTGGTTTGCTCAGGCACGAATCCGTTTATATCTTCCTGTAATTTTTGGATGGCTTCAGATGATTCGGTTTGGAGTGGTACAGGTTTTTTAAGGTTGTAATTTGAACGTTTCAAAAACCCTTAGATGCGTGTGCGCAGTACAGCACAGCTCGGCCACCCTACCCCCTCCATATCCATTTTTACCTTATATTTTTTTTTACATTATTTCTTTTTTTCGATTGATTTTATTTTGGCCAGATGTAATATTTTAATTTTGTTCTATTTTGTTATTCTCAAGGGACTGTGTCCCAGAATAAAGTTATTTTTCTTTCATAATCTTAAGGTAGCACATCATCTTAAGAGAGGGGTCTCTAACCTTTTTGGCTTGTGTTCCAAATTGAGATCTCCACTGTATTCCGCGGAGCACGTTGAGGATTCGTCTACCTACTTGGCCATATTTTTTTATGTCATTGTAGAGCGTGTTTTAATGTTGCCCCATTTAACATTCTCGAGTATGGTGATACCCACTCGAATCTGGTCCGTGAGGGTTTTATTTCGGAATAAAATTCAGTTTAGTTCTTGGCGGGCTCACGGACAATTCAATCCTTCCAATTAACATGAAAAAAAACAAAACTTGTTTTACCTATAACACTTCAGTAGAATGAGTTTTATAAAAGAAACGACTTATGCAATAAATGTTTTAGAAATATTAGTTCAAGTTCATGTTTTTAAAATAATATTTAAGAAGTTACTATGTAATCAGGGAAACTTTTTGTGGTCTATATTTTGAAGATTCCTGCTATTTTAAAACATTTTGAAGGAATAAGAAGATAATACAACCTATTATTCAGCGGTATTTTGTAGAATTATGCCTGATTTAAACGTTAAAAGATCTATAATGCCAATAGAAGAAAAAAAAAGTACTTCTTTTTTTCTGGGAAGTTGTATGATATTCTTAGTTATTCGGCAATGATTACTTCCAATTAGCAACAATTAATTAGCAGACACCCAATAATTAGTTTAAAAGCAAGATGTTGCTCTAGATGTTATATACCTAGATTATTATAACATGAATTAGAAATTGACGATGGAGCACATTATTTTTAAGCCTTGTATTCACAAGATCATTGGGATTGTGGTTCTGAAGATGGGAGTAAATATCCCGAAACCTAAACTTGTAAACATGCAACTTTGATAATACAACAAATATATTCAATTGTTACTAATTGGAAGTAATCATTGCCAAATAACTAAGACTAAAAAAAAAAAATATAATAATAATAATGCTTACATAGATATATATTTTTTTGTGCAGTGTACCCCCTACCGTGCATATTAACAGGCGTAGACCGAAGTTTTAAGATTTAATAATAAAATGTTGGCTATTTTAGTTTTGTAATTTGATGTTTCTTTGTCTAAATTAAATTAAAGTATTATGAATTCGTTACACATGCTCTTTCAAACATTAATTTGGTGCAACAGTGTATTTTCTGTAAAACATTTGTACTGTCTTCGGATAGCTTCAAAAAACTCAGTTGGATGAAAGGAAAAAGTAGATTTGGAGATCGTCAGCATATAAGTGGTGGAATATAGTAAGCAATAAATATTATTCTTGATATCGATATTTTCGTAACCTCTCTATGTTTTCTTATCATTAAAATTATCAGGAGTTATGATTTTATTTTACGAACTCGATGTATTTTATGTATGATCTAACGTAGTTTTATGCTTGAGTAGATCACACAAAATATTATTTAAACGAAGGATCATTGAAAAATCGAAGTTAAATTATATTAAAAATATACGATCGACTTACTTGGTCCAGTCTTGCGACGTGCTACAGTTTTCCTCGGCGTGCTTTGTGATGACATGGTTCTGGATTGAAGTACAGCGAATTTAGAAGATATGTTCCAAAATTTTGTGTTTGAGCTTGTGGTGAATGTATTCTTCGAAGAGGTCACTAAAAACCTCCTATCCCCTTCGATAAGTCACATGTTCATAAAATCCTAACGCTTTTATCATATGCCCAAGCTACACGAGATCATCGATATAATCAAATTAACAGAATTTAGAATTATTTTTAACTGATTAAAAAAAAAAATTAAATGCGGAGAAATACTAATTCTTCTGACATTAGAAAGAGGTATATTCAAATAAAAGAATATTTTAATAATAAGCTTCTAATGTTTATTTAAAACTTCAAAATATTTTTTAAATATTAAATTTATTTAAACCTATAGATACAACTATGAATAAAATGAACCTTAAGGACGAACAAAATAAAAATAAATCACTATTTTTTTTTTGCTATTTTCATTACGTATTTTCTTGATGTTTTCTCGCCTTAACAAAGCCTACTCCACTTCTGCCTATCCTGGGTTATTTCTTTCCAGTCATCTACATGTAGCTTTATGGGCATCTTTCTTGGTTTGATCTACCCATCTGCTTTTTGGACCTCCTAGTCTCTTGTTACCTATTGAGGTATTAATTGTTGTATAGAGGCTTGGATTACCACGAGCTACAAGCTCCACCCTCCTTACTAAGCAATGGAGAAGAAAAACTAATAAGCAGCTGCTCACAGAAACTGGTCAATCAATTTCTCACGATATAAAGGTAAAAAAGTTAATATGGGCGAGACAAGTTGCTCGGAGTAATCCCTCTAGAAGCCACTTCATAATAATGAATGCTTCAACGAGAAAGCAAAAGACCAGATGGATAGATAGAATCAACAAAGAAGCAATAGAGCTGTATGCTGATACAGGGTATGTAATGGCAAAAAAAAAATATCTGGTCCTCTATACGACGTACACACCTGTCCACTCACACGACTTTCCTATCTATTTCAGAAAAGTTTTTATATCTTTACATATGTTCATGAAGAAACAAAAAAGAATTGAACGAGATTTATTTTCCTGATAATTGATCAAACAAAAGATTTGAGTACGATTTATGGGATAAACTAAAGCAATGTAAACTGGCTTAAGGTAGATCAGTGTAAAAATTTCAATACTCACTAATATTGCTGATTGAAATATTGCAAAAACTTTTTGCCATAGCTTAGTATTGTCAAACAATAATTTCTGTTAAAAGTAGAGTAAAGAGTGAAGATTGTGTGATCCGGGCAACCGATTTTCTTACTTTCACTTAGTCATCTTTATTCTCTCATTCACCCCTTTCTGACACCAGGATATGGACCCATAATCTTACATTGGAAATTGAACAGCTGTAACTTCGGTAATAGTTGTCCAAAATGAACGATTTTTATATAGCTTTGTAGGCAATTTCATTACCTTTCAAACGACTATAATTATAATTATAACATTTTTCTTTTCTTTATAACTTTTTTTCCTGATTTTTTGGGGGAATTTAGTCTATATACGAACATGAATGGACAATGGTTAAAACATTATAGATAAGTTTCATCAAAATCGAGCCGTTTTTGCGCTACAATCTATAGAAAAACATGTTTTTCATTTATTGCTCGCAAGCTATTGCGCATGGAGCACCGAATTTCTGTCACATTAGTAGTCAAAACCCTACAATGTATAAAAAAAGCAACAAAATTGGTTGAGTAGTTCCCGAGAAAATCTTGGCACAGACAGACACAGACAGCTTGAAGCTGAAGCACCCCCCCCCCCTTACCACCAAACTATTTCTTAAAGTATTATTTGTTCGTGTAATTACATTTAATAGGACTTCAAGACCAATTAAATACCATTTCTTATGGGTAGTTCATTTCCTTTTTTTTTTCAAATTAATTATCGTTATATATAGGGGAAAAAAAATCTTTCGGGCTGAAGCCCACCCTCTCCCAAAATTAAATCCTGAATCCGCTAGTGGTAGAAGGTTCGCGAATATAATTGGTTCTTTTCCTTCAAATCAGAGAAAACACCATTAATTCATATTTCGTTTACACTTTTTGGATGCAATTGATGTAACGTTTATTAAATAATTTTTTTTTTTATTCAAATTTTCGTTTCTCTGGTTGTAAACAATGAACTCCCCACTTCCGCCAAAATTCCTCCATCCCCTCTACTTCCTCTACAAAATTTATTCAAAAACATCTTATTAGGTTTACGGAGCCATTAGTTTAAAAATATATAGAATATCGTTTGTTGAAAATGTGGTAAAAATGGGGAAAAACCGAAAAAAAAGTGGGTAAATTTATCAGTTTTTAGTCTTCGAATCATCCGCCAAACTACAAAGTTTGGATTATTGAACTCTGTCACATCCCATACAAGAATGAAAAAAAAAGAAAGATATCTTATACCACTTGATACAACTTATAATGTAAAAGGTTACTTGGTCTATATTCGATCAACCCAGACACATGTCTCCTTATGGTTCGCCATAGTCTGGCAACAAGAAGCTCAGAGCAACAACCGTTGACCTATTCCCAGAGGACTAACATGGACGCGGAAGTAGCCTAAAGAAGCAAACCACGTTGCTTACACACTGACACAGTACAAGTACTTCAGTTACCTAGCGTTCCGTAAGGGCAGGAAATGAAGCAAATGTACTTTCTTCATAGCTGTGTTGTACTGTCTTGTTTACCGCAAACAGGATTAAATGTTACATGCATATCCTTTATAAGAGTACAAAGTTCATTCAATACGTTTCCTTATTGGTATACTTAATTTTCTCTCAAAATAGATTTAATGAAATTGTCCTTGGATGGACCAAACTTTGAAAGACACTCCTTGAGCTCATTGAGCAGTATTGGGGGTAACTGAACAATAACAAATAACCCCTTGTAGGATGGGTTGGGGACTTTTGGAATGTTTAACTGTTGAATAAAGTCCTAAAGTCAAAATTTATTTTCCTTCCATTTCCCTCTACCTCTACAGGGGTGTCCAGAAGGGGGTTTGATGACGAAAGTTGCGCTATCAAAGTTTTCGAGGGGGGGGGGAGGGGCATATTTTGATGTGTTTTTGAATTTTTGATTTAGGCACATTTTGATGGGTTTACGAATTTTCAGACTGAGAGGCAAGGTGAAAATATGGAACAGACCGCAGCAAGTGTGATTTACTTTGATCTAAAATTTTTCTAATTCTACCTTCGCTTGCTCTGTTTTTAAAAAAAGGTGAGCAATAAAATATGTTGGGACGTGGGGAGAGGGAGGGAGGGGGAAGATAGGTTTTTGCGCTATTGACTTTGGAGGGATGAACACTCCTGTCCCTCTATACTTCCTTTTTTAGCTCTAATTGATAGGACCATATGTAATTGTGAATGGAGTGGCGGAACGGGCTAACGTGTGTGCACAGCACCGCCGTTGCCCGGCCACTTGATATATGAGTGTTTGATAAAAAATAGTCACGAGTTCGCGTCCCGGTACCAGGGAAGTCTTTTAAAGGCGAGGAAGGGGAGGACCAAAAAAAAAAAATAAAAAAAATAAAAAAGGTAAAACATAACCATGTTTTATGAAAAAAAAGTCTCTAAAAGTATTATTGTTCGTCTAATTACAGTTAATATGACTTAAAGTAGTGTTGCCCCCTCCCAAAAAAAGGACCATAAGTAAGGTTTTTGGTCAACGATCGCACAAGGAGGTGATATGACCGAGATCACGCTTAACCGCCAGGTTTTCTGTCTTAATTGAGTAATTAAGAGCACCCATATTATAGAAACTGGTGTGCCCCTGGAGTGTCTCCTGAACTCAGTGTCGATGAAACAGAATAAATACCTATATAATATTTACAATCAGATAAGGGAACTCCAAATTAAAATTATCAGTTCAAATTCTCGGTGCAGTTCTACAGAGCGGGCGAAGCCGCAAAAGAAGACGGTACATTTCAGCAAAACCAATCTCAATTTTTTTGTTATTTTGATTGAAATAAGTTTTTTTTTTGTCTAAAGGATATTTCTCCATATACTTACTTTCTATAGCATAAAAAAAATAATTTTCGCTTGCAATCCTGTATTCAGAAGATCCACGATCATGATTAAATGATGGGGAAAAAACATCAAGTTAAAATCAATAACCTTTTTTTAATGATTTATTTCTGTTTAAAAATATATTAGACATCCTTCGCTGATTATAACATTTGTATTTGTCCTGTTTAGATCTCTTAAAATATCTTGATTATGACATAATGATGATGATAAAATGTATTTAATCAAGAGAGCTCCAGTTTACAAGGCAAGGCGGCCATTTCATATGTAGAGTCTGATCCCAGCTGGAGATACGTCACTCACTGGAGAACTCCAGGGCTAAGAATATAATCCAAGACATGGAAGTAGGTGTCCTGGGCTGCACAACCTGGTCGGCTTTCTCTCGTTGGCCTCACTATGACATTTCTTATTTAAATCGGAAATATTACTGTCACATTCAAATCTATCGTGTTATAATATGACTTGTTACTTATAAATTTATTTATTGTTAGAATGCCTCTACACCGAAAGGTCTTTGGAATATCTTTTGATAAAGAAACAAAAACGCAAAAAACATAATTACATTTACTTAAATCATAGATTAACAATATATCATAGGTAGTATAGTTGTCTTTTCCGATTCTCAGAAACGAGGGATGTTGACGAATGAAGTATCAAATGGAGAAGTGGCAAATCATAAATTCATAACTTACAATAAAATTCATAGAAAAAATTCGAAATTTTTTAAAACAGATGATTTCAGAAGTCGAATGATCAAACAGCGAAAGAATCTTTTTTTTTTTTAAATATTTCGAAGTGGACATCATCTGCCTAGGTCAGAATGAGGAAACCTAGCTAAACGCTCAATGAATAGTCTAGTATTAGTTAGTAAATAGACTTTTATTCACAAAAACGGTTTTTGCGACCGGGATCGCATGAATAAAACTTTACACAAAATTGTCCGATTTTAACGATTTGTATTTTGTTCTTTATTAATTTCGTTAACTTTTCAATGGCCATCCACAAAGTTATTCGTAAATATAATTTTACCATCCCTCGTAATTTTTTCCAGCTTCTTTTCTATGAAATTTGATTTTTTTTAATGTATTGTTCGATTACGATTATTCATTA